CAATGCCGCCTCCCACCACCAGGCCACCAGGAATAGAAAGGAGGTTGATATGAGTTAAATTTGCCATCATAATGGTTGGTTTGGTTCTGGTTTTGGAATATTCAGAGACTCTCCACTTTACCAAACATGATGTAATTTTCCAAGGATTGATCCTCCAAGTATGCGTTGTTGTTAGATGCCATCTAGTCAAGTACAATTCATCGCATCCTTATGAACAAAAGATCTGAACCTGTTCTATCTTGTGCCATCCTCACACTTCCTGACACACAAGAGCCCATTGCAGCAGTCACCTGTGTCAATCCACCTGGTTGTCAATCCTCTCCTTCGCTGACCCTCCACCCTTTCCAACATCCTGTCTCTCTCCAAGGAATAGCCCTTCCTAGCAACAAGCCCTTTACATAGGTGAAGTCTCGTCGTTCTTGCCTCCAAAGAGCACTCCAGCTGCACCATCTCCAAGACATGTCTGTTTGTTCTCTTGGCTACCCAGTACTCTTCTCCAACACCACAGCTCAAAGGCTTCAATTCTCTTTTTGTCATTCTTATTCATTGTCCAGATCTCAGATGCAAAGCAAGTAATCGGAAAGACCATGGCCTGAATTAGACACACCTTAGTTCTCAAACTGACCTCATTATTCCTCAAGACTTTGCAAAGGTCCCTAATTACAGATTTTACCCAGTGCAATGCATCTTCTTATGTTCTGACTACTGGTACCAAGCAAGATGAAGCTCTTGATAGTTTCTCCAGGATAGGATCAGGCAAAAAGAGAAAACCCTCAAGGAAATGTGTTGATACAGTCAATGGCAGCAAAATGGACTCAGCCACAGTAACAGTTGTGAGAATGACACAGAACCTGCCAGTTCTTCCTTCTGTTATAGGGTTGCTGTGTCCTGGAAATGATTTGATGGCACCTCACAACAATAATTTTTCTAAAAAAGATCATCAGATTTTTTTTTTTGCAACAGTAAGTTTTTTTTATTTTTTAATTCTTGCTATCATAAATGTGGATCCAAGTAAAATGAAATAATCTACAACTTCAATCTTTTTTCCATCTATCAGGGCGTTGTCTAACTTGTTAGACATTTTGTTAGAATTTTACTTGATTTTATAGATATTGTTATCTATTTTGATATGTAATCTATATTGTAATTTTCAATAAGTGCTTCAAGTCATCACTTTCTGCTGGCAAGATTGTGTTGTCTGTGTAATGCAGATTGTTGGTAACATTTTTCTCCAATTCTGATGATACATTCTTCTTTACCTAGCCCATTTAATAGAATTATTTCACAACATAAAGATTTAGTAAGTGTGGAGAAAGAATACGACCCTGATTCGCATCTTTGCTTACTTTAAACCACTGTCTTTTAGTCCTGTTTAGACAACGGTTTCTTGGTTTATGTACAGGTTGCACAGGAACACAATTTGGTTTTCTAGAATTCTAATTCTTCTCAATGTTACTGTAATTTGTTCTATAATCTACATTGTCAAATACCTTTGCATAGTCAATAAAACACAAATAGACATTCTTCTGGTATCTCTGCTTTCAGCCACAATCCATCTGGTATCAATTATATCCCTTGATCCATGGTCTCTTCTGAATCTAGCTTGATTTTCTGGCAGTTTCCTGTTAATGTATTGCTCCAGCTATTTATGAGTAATCTTAGTAATATTTTACTTGCATGTAATATTAATGAAACTGTTCAATAATTTTCACATGCTGTTGAATCACCTCGTTTTGAAGAGAGCACAGATATGAATCTCTTCCAGCCAGTTGGCCAGGTTTTCCAAATTTCCTGACACAGATTAGTGAGCACAAACTGTTAAATTAATAGAAGCCATTTGTACCATCCAAGGACATTTTCTTTAAATCAATCAATTATTAATTAAATAACTATTTTTTTAAAAAGAAACTCTTTTAGAACCTTTACTATGCCAGCTTGCTCTAGGGAAGCAATTTACTGTTGAGTTTATTTTTAAAGAAATAATGACTTAAGCCACTCATACTTGTAATTCCCCCCCCCCACTTTTTAAGTGATAGAATAAACCAGTTATTTAGAAACTACTGTGATGAGTGGAGAGCTTTTACAGTGGTTAACACTTGTTTTAATATATTGACCAAAAATTAAAATGATGTATTTTCAGATAGTTTTCTTTTTCAAGTATATTTAATCATGTGATTGTAATGTATTTTCCTAAACCTAAAGTAGTTTCTAAGCACTGATAATAGAAGTTAAAATGAGAATTATGTCTGACAATATAGCAGTATTTTATCTTCTAGTGCCTGGTGCTTTTTCTTGTTAGATATTGAATATGTATTTATTGAATCAATGCTGCTGAAGTTATATACTAGATTTTATTATTTCTTTCATTCTGCCATTTTCTATGCTAGCTATGAAATCAGTTTGTCTTCTTAAGATTCTGAAGTATGTCTAGGATAACATTTGAAAATGTTAGGAGATCAACATGTAAAAATTTTAGGAGATCCTTCAAACACTAAAGATCTGAGAACCTTAAATAACATAACTTGGATACTGTTGTGAATAACTGTAACCTGTATTTTCTAGCTTGTCAGAGAAATGATAGGGAGATCGTTTGTCCAAAAACTCAGATAAAAAAATTATACAGACTAAATGAAAACTATTTTTCCCCCCACAAGAAATCCTGCAGTGATTCCAGTTTTATGTTGAGGCATCTGAAATGAAAATCATCCCTTGAGTTTATGTTTCTGAGCAGTGTTAATGGATTGGCAAACCCAACCTTCAAAACCCCCCCAAACCCATTGCTGTTAGTTCGTTTCTGAGGCTGTCAGTCTTTACATGTAGAGTGATTGTCAATCTTTTAGTTCAGACTGCCAAGTTAGCAGGGCAATGGTGTGTGGTTGTTGTTGTGTGCCGTCGAGTCGCATGCGACTCATAGCGACCCTGTGTACTACAGCCCTAAACTGTGCTCTGTCCTGTGCCAATTGCACTGTCTCTGACACTCCCATCCCAATTATCCCAGTCACTGAATCAATCCACCTCATAGAGGGCCTTCCTCTCCTGCGCTGTCCCGCCACCCTCCCAAGCATGATGTCCCTCTCTAAGGACCGGTCTCTCCTCACAACATGTCCAAAGTATGTTAGACGGAGCCTCAGAATCCTTGCCTCCAAGGAGCCACCTGGTTTAACCCTTTCCAGGACGAATCTGTTTGTTTTCCTAGCAGTCCATGGTATTCTCAATACTCTTCTCCAGTACCACAGCTCAAAGGCATCAATTCTCCTTCTATCCTCCTTGGTCACTGTCCAACTCTCTGATGCATAACAAGTGATTGCGAAGACCATGGCCTGTATCAGACGCACGTTAGTCTCCAGAGAGACACCATTGCTCTTCAGTACTTTGGAGAGGTCCCTAACAGCAGACTTTCCCATGGCAATGCACCTTTTAATTTCCTGGCTGCTGGTGCCAAGACTGTTTTCTATGGAGCCAAGCAGACTAAAGCTGTGTACAATCTCAATCTCTTCACCATCCATCCTGATGCTGCCAATTGGTCCAGTGGTGAGAATCTTTGTCTTCTTGACATTGAGCCTCAATCCATATTGTAGGCTGCAGTCCTTGACCCTCTACAGCAGGCGCTTCAGGTCCTCTTCAGTTTCAGCAAGCAGGGTTGTGTCATCCGCATAACGCAGATTGTTGATAAATTGTCCACCAATCTTGACCCCACATTTCTCCTCATAGAGCCCAGCCTCCTGGATAATCTGTTCTGCATATAGGTTGAAAAGGTATGGAGATAGGATGCATCCCTGGCGTACACCCTTCCGAATTTTGAACCATGCAGTATTCCCTTGCTCTGTTCTGACGACTGCCTCCTGGTCCAAGTATAAGTTTCGCATTAGAACGATCAAGTGTTCTGGGATTCCCATTCTTCTCAGAGTGAACCATAGTTTCTTATGATCTACACAGTCAAATGCCTTTGCATAGTCAATGAAACACAGCAATGGTGTAGTCTGTAGTTAATTGGGCTGCTAATCCAAAAGCTGTGCCTCTCGAGTGGTTCAGACATACCAGTGACTGAGGAAGAAAGATGGGCAATCTGCTTTCAAATAATTTACAGCCTCAGAAAGGCCAGATATGAGCCAATTGCAACAGTGGCGTGTTCCCATCATGCCTCCAGGGAATAAGGTTTGCCTTAATGAAAACTGCCATAAAATTAAAAGGTGACAATGGATACGTTTATTTCACCAACATGTCAATCCATTTCCGTACTGAATTTGTAAAATAAGTGGATGTAATCAGAGTATTAGAATACACCCCTCACCCCCATCCCTTAACTCATCCATCAGCTTGGTTAATTAAGGACCCTGTTTCATTACTGTAGAGTTGAAACCAACTCATTGCTGATCCTCTGGTGTGTTTTCAGAGGCTGTACATTGCACAGGAGGAGATTGCCCATCTTTTCCACAAGAACAGCTAGTAAATTTGGACTAACTGCTTTTTGACAGTGTAACTCCTTATCTATTAGGCCGGGAGAGCTCATTAATTAAAGACTAGTAGGAAAAAAATTCATTTAAGACCTTAATGGATTTTAAATCATTTTTCCTCCTTCCCTTCCCATCATTTATTGTATGTGCACAAGGCTCAGTCATTTGATTTGAAAAAAGATACGAATCCATTGAGATAATAAAATTTAGAGTCTCTATTAACATATTTTTTAAAATTTAAACATTCTTAATGGATTCCTGTCTTGAAATTATTAGTCTTCTAATTTAATTACATAGAGTAAATGCAAAATAATTTTAAAAAAGGATTGTATCAAAGTACAAGTTATTGGGATTGCTTTGGAAATGACTTAAATGTAACCAACCCATTTCCTTCCCTCCCCCCAAAGCAACATTTAACTTTCAGACTTCAACCACAGTTGTGATTGTTTTTAGTTTGTAAGTTGCCTGGAGTGTTATTTTAAGAAAACAGAAGCACCTTCATTTGCACACTGCTTATAGATCACACACCTTAACCCTGACCTTTTAGCTTCAATTTTTCAAAAGAAGTTAAGGCAAGATGAGGAATCATTTGCTTTTCTTGGGAGTCCTGGCCATTTTTGTTAAAGCTGTTCTTGTGACAGGTATGTGGTAATTAGAAAATGAACCTTGATAAGAAAGAGAAATACAGTACAACTCTATGTTTAGATTAAAGCATTTATGTTTGTGCTTTGCTTGACCAACTAGCCAGCCACTTATTTCTAACACATCTTAAATATTTATATGAGCAGTGATCTTTACAGACAGCATTCACTGTCATGCTTTTTTGTTTGTGTATTTTTTCTTTTGATTGCTAACTGCAATAAGAAAAATAAGAAAATAGTTATTTTTAGGTAACTGCAGATAGGCATACTTATGAGTGTCCATATTGAGTCTTTAGAATCAGTAATTTTCCCTTTGGGTCTCTTAAAGTAATAATCTAGAGAAGTGAAGTGATTTTGCAGTATATTTGATATATAGTGCACTGGGTTTTTATTTTCCCATAGGGACTGATACTCTTTCTAATGACTTTTAAATATGATCCCACAGATTTTTATGATTCTTTAACAATACCTAAAGCCATACATGTAGTCTATAACTTGATAGCTGAATTTTAATTATTTTGTGTATACTGTTGCTATATACTGTAAAGTCAGAACCCACTCATAGCTGACCCTCCAGAAGGTTCTCAGTGGCAGTAAATCACAAGGGAGGAGATTGCTCATTTTTTTCCCCCAGAGCAGATGGTGAATTGGAATCATGTGCCTTTGGGTTGGCTGTACGGTTCCTTACCATGATACCGCCAGAGCTGAGAACGTTCAAATAACTGTAGAAAAGGGTATAATATTAAATCGTTTTTATTTAGAAGGGCATATAAACTAAAGGGGACTTAATTTAGAAAAAACATATGCAAATATGTATATCTATTAAATGAATTTATTATTATGAGTAATAATTTAAAAATATCAGTAGTAAAAATTTTATATATGCATCAACTAATTTTTAAAACATGTTTATATGTATAAATTATTTGTTAGAAAAAAAGACATATAACTACATAAATAATGTTATATGCTTGCAAGTCAGAACCAATTCATATCTTACCCTCCAGTGGGTTTTCTGAGGCAGTGTATCTCTTGGGAGAAAGATTGCCCATTTTTCTCCTGCAGAGCAGCTGGTGGATTCGAACCACAGGCATTTGGGTTGGCAACGCAACTCCTTATCTCTAAACTACCAGAGACATATTATGTTCTAGATACTGTGCTGTTCTATATAAAGTGTTCAACTTAATTATCACAGTAGCTGTGTGAGAATAGTTATTATCTCCAACATATAGTTCAGCCATGCAGTTAAAAAACTTCCTGACTTATCATTAAAGACCACGTAGAAAGGAAGTAGTGATAGGTAGAACTCAAGTTCAATCTAAGTTCCATAAATTCATTGTGATCAGACATCACATGAGTTAAGTCTATTTTATCATTAGTTTGATCTGAATAAAATTAATATTTATTAAGCACCTACTGTGTCTCAAGTGTTCTGGGGAAAAAGTAAGGCACATTCTATAAAAATAAGTTTATTTGGAAAAATACCACCTATGATGAAAAACACTGAAGTCTTAGAAATCCTAATTGACAGCAATTGTACATTTTCTGATAGATATATTGTTGTGTGTACCATGGAGTCAGAACTGACCCATAGCTGACTCTCCACTGCGTTTTTAGAGGCAATTTTACTCTCATAGGAAGAGATTGCCCATCCCTATTTCATGGTACAGCTGGTGCCCTCAAATCACGTGCCTTAAGGATTGTAACACTGCTTCTTGCCACTAGGCCACCAAAGTTCCCTGATATATTAGGATGTTGAATTTTGTATAGTAATAATAATGATAGTTTCTCCCTAGCGTCTTGAAAAGGAAATAAATTGTATGGTTGTAATAAACATTTAAATACTTTCTATTTAAGGTTTTATAGTCAAGCCACGTAACTTTTAATCTAAGATTTTGGTTAGGCATTATATTCTCATAATTCTCTTGAATTTTATTGCTAATAACATTTGAAAGTCAGGAGCAGGGAAGAGGACACATTGATGTCATCTTACTACTTTTAGAACATTGTATCATTATCTTTAATTGACTTCAAAATGTTTCTTTTCCAATACTGTACAGACTATTGTCATAAAATGTATTAAGAAATTTAGGACTAATGGCTAAATAATGCATTATAAAGTACTTTGAGCAATTATAAGTACAGTAACAGGAGTTTTAAAATGTTTTTTTGTAATGGTTGTTATCATTAAGACAATTAGATCTGCTGTGCTCTGGGAATCAACTCAGAAATAATTGAACTTCCAGTTATACAGGTTTGTCCCCCTTTCCTGACTAATCTTTATAACTTATTTGTGCTTAAACTTTGTTTTATTGGTTGAAGCTCAATAAGAGAAGACTTTAAGGTAATTTAGCTAAAATTATAAGAAACAAAAAGATATTTAACATTATAATTGTTCAATTTGTTATTGTTGCTATTGTGTGCTGTTAAGTCAGAATTGACCCAGAGCTGACCCTCCACCAGGTTTTCAGAGGCATAGAGGAAACTGCTCATCCTACCTCCATAGAACAGTTGGTGGATTTGAACCATGTGCCTTTGGTATTGTAACACAGCTTCTTACCACTATAATTCTATTAAAATTAAGTGGTTATTAATTTTTAAAATAGAAAGTATTAATTGCTGTAAGTCAAATAATAGGAGTATTTTTCCTCTATGTAGTCATATTATATTGAATAGAGATTTTTCATAAAATATTTTCTAAATTTTCTTTTGCAAATATCTAACACTCTACAACTACAGTGGCATTCACTTCCTAAAATGTCTATGGAAACTCTATGAACTTTGATAAATGTTGATAGTTGTAGAGGGTCTTCAAGCCTTTTGTTCAAAAGGTCGCTATGAGTCATGCTTGACTTGAATGCAACCAACAACAACACAGATATATATTAAATAATTTAAAATAATTCATACTATGAAATTATGAATAAATATGGAAGATTTGTTATTATTATTATTATTATTATTATTATTATTAAAAAAGAGTATAATTTGGTTTGGGAAAATTGTGGCGGAGACTATTCAGTCTATAAAATAAGATTACCCTGGGAGAAAACATGCCAATTCTTAGCTCTAATACAATTTAAGAAAAAAATTGATAAATGGCAGTTGAAGAAAGATGTGACATTTAAAACTGGATTTATAAAGGCTAACATTACTTTTGTTTATCTTAAAAGAAATTTATTTGGTCTGGGAGAAGGAGAAGTCTTGTGTGTAGATTTCTGTTGTTGCTGTCACTTTGGCATTTGGTAGTGATTTTGCAAGGCTGCAGTGGTTCAGAAACTATACTTCTATTAAACACAGTAGGAGAAAACCAGAATTCTCTCAACCTACGTTTTTATAGGCTAGCTCAGGTCAAAGGATTCTCTTTAGAATACATTTGAATTTATTTTACTGTAATATAAGATTCCATTTTATTTTTTATTGTGATGATATATATCTAACAAGATTTTACCATTTCAACCATTTTATGCATGCAATTCAGTAACATTATTTGCATTCCCTACTAAACCATCATCAGTATTTGCATCTTAATTTCTCAATCACCCTTAACAGAAAATCAGTACCTCCTAAGGTGTCTCTCTACATTTCCCCCTCTCACTCCATTTGTCCCTGGTAATCATCAGTGAAGGTTAGGTCTCTATATACATTTGAGAATTCTTTTTATGGCTATGAAGAAAGATAACAGAAAATTCTGAGAATGACCAATTAATCACTTTTCTGAACACAGAAAAAGAAATTAATGCAAAGTATATAAATAAAGTTTTATTTCTCTTCCTTCTTAATATGTTTGTCTTTGAAGCCCAACACGAAGATGAGAAGATTGTCCTTGTTGACAACAAATGTCAGTGTGCAAGGGTTACTTCCAGGATCATCCCTTCTGAAGAAGATCCGAGCCAGAGTATTGTGGAAAGAAACATCCGAATTATGTACGTGATATTTCTTATTTCCTGTTGTCCGTATTGTAGGGAGAGCTAACTTTGTCCATATTGTAAGAAGAGATACTTTCTAATATTAAACATTAAATATTATGCCAGCATCTTTCATAACTTTATATTGCATTTTATAAGAGGAGAACTTAAGAGAGTGGGCATGAAAAAAAAAAAAGAGAGTGGGCATGAACTACTTTTACAGAAGTTGGAGTAGAGGCAAGAACAAAATTTTTAAGACAAAGGACTTCCAGATTAATCTCAAGCCTGTCACCTAGATTATAACGAAAGGTTTTGGTCTAGTTATCAGCGTGTCCCTTTTACATGGCGTTATTTCACTTTGAATCAGAACTTTCAGTTGCTTTCCATCAGTTCAGAGTGAAACTCAAATGAATGCATAAACATATGTTAGATAGACTGGACAAATGGATTAATTTGATTCCATTTTTATTTTTGGATTGAACTTTAGGATTATGTGATATGTAATTTTAGTCAACCTTAAAAATACTTGAGAATGACATTTCTATTGTATCTAATAAGTAATTTTAACCATTTATTAACCACTCCAAGTATTTATTTCCCCCTTTTTAAATTAATTTAGAAGAGAATATAGCATTCAATCCCCTTCAGTTAGTATGAGAAATATGTATTTAAGAACCTTGTTGGTTCACTTAATAGCTATGTACTTTTGTATGCAAGTTACTTATTAATTCTAAACTTCACCTTTCTCATCTGTAAACAGGAGGGACCTCAGAGGGTTATTGTAAGGGTAAATCATGGAGATATATATATATATATTCCTTTGAGAGTTTGGCGTAGTTCCTGGAACACAATCAGAAAAATATTAACTATTATTTATTCATCTAATCTATGTGCTTATTCAGTTTATAATTATATCACTATTTTACATAAAACCATTTTGATGATATGCCCCAAACTGTTCTTAGGATAAGTTACAAATGCCTCAGCCTAACTATAATGCTCTGTATAACTCTCATGCTCATTCACTGTCAATTTTCTTTCACTTTGTCTAGCAATACTGAAGTATCTTTATCTCCTAAAAGATCCCTGGCCATGTAGTGTGTTACATGTGGACTTGCTAACTGAAACTTCAGTGGTTCAGATCCACCAGCATTTCCTAGGGAGAAGATGAGGCAGTCTCCTCTCAGATAGACTGACAGTCCTGGAAACTTGATGAAGAGTAGCCATGAGTTGATTTGACTTGATGGAATGTTTGAGTACAGATTTCCTCTTCGGTTTTCATCATGCTAGTACTCCTCACTCCCTGACTGAAGTACACTTTCTCCTACCCCTCTTAGCCTGGTTAATTCCTGCTCATGCTGCATGCATGTTCTTGTGGATACATACTGTAGCAGATTTTCTTTGATGATTGTTGTTATGTGCTGTCGAATTGTTTGTGACTCACAGCGACCCTGTGTACAACACTCTGAACCCTGCTCTATCCTGAGCCAACCTTACTGTCTCTGACACACCTACCCCCATTACCCTTGTTATTGAGTCACTCCATCTCATCTGGGGGTCTTCCTCTCCTGCGCTGTCCCTCCACACTTCCAAGCATGACGTCCCACTCTAAGGATTGGTCGGTCCCTCCTTGCAGCGTGCCCAGAGTATGTCAGACAGATCTTCAGAATCTTGCCTACAGGAGCAATCTGGTTTCACCCTCTCTATGACAAACCTGTTTGTTCTCCTTGCAGTCCATGGTATATTCAATGCTCTTCTCCAGCACCATAGCTCAAAGTCATCAATTTTTCTATTATCCCTAGTCATTGTCCAGCTTTCTGATGCATAGTGAGTAATTGCAAAGACCATCGCTTGGATCAGGCACACCTTAGTCTCCAGACAGACATCATTGCTCTTCAGTACTCTGGAGAGATCTCAAACAGCAGACTTTACCCAGTGCAATTCATCTTTTGATATCTGGATCCTGGTACCAAGAGTGTTGATTATGGAACTAAGCAAAGTGAAGCTGTTAAAAATCTCAATCTCTTCACCATCTGTCATGATGCTGCCAATAGGCGCAAGGATAAGAATCTTTGTTTTCTTAATGTTGAGCTTCAATCAATACTGAAGGCTGCAGTCCTTGATCTTGTGCAGCAAATGCTTCAGGTCCTCCTCAGTTTTGGGAAGCAAGGTCGCATCATCTGTATAATGTAGATTGTTGATGAGTCTTCCTCCAATCCTGATGCCACATTCCTCCTTTTAGAGACCAACCTCCCATATGAATCTCTAATTGCTATTGGCTGACACTCAGTTGGCTCCTGACTCATGGAGACCCCATGAACAACTGGTTTTGTACATTATTATAGCTGACTGAAGATCAGCCCATGGAGATACATTAGATTTTTATTATGATTTTCAGAAGTAGATTTGCAGGCCTTTCTTCCCAGGCAGTCATACTCTAAGCAGCTCTGCACAAACCTGTTTGAAGCATCATAGCAACACATAGACATCCACTGAGGGATTGATGATGGTTTCATATGATGTGAAGGCCAGGAGCTGAATCCTGTTCTCCTGCATGGAAGGAGAGAGTTCTACCACTGGACCAACAATTTATCCCTAAATTCTCTAGAGAATAATTTGAGTAGATAGTGACTCAAAGGGATGGTACATGTGACATTGACCCCTAAGCCAACTGATGATAAATAACTGTCTTATGTTTAAATCTTCAAGGGTGAAATTTTGACATGACCTGCCAGGATTTTCCTATTTATCCTTCTGTTTAATGACATAATGTATTTTTTTATATTATGTTGCTTACTTTACATGATAAATGTTGATACATTCTCAATCACATTTCCTGAAAACTCTGTCATCAGTAAATTTAACATTTGTTTCTGTGTCGTTACAGCACCATTCTTGGTTCCATCACTTAATTTGGGGAAAGTTATTTCGCTAATTTGAACTTGCTTCCTAAAATAGTAAAAAGGATATGTAAAACTGTAGGAAGTGGTGCTGCTAGTATAAAGACTTTGCCTATCTAGCAATTAAAATCCACCAGCAGTGCCACAGGAGAAAAAATGAGCAATCTTCTCTCATGTGATCTCCAACCTTGGGAACCCAAGAGAAGGTCAATTACGACTCTGACAGTGAACTGTGACTCATTGATGGCAATGAGTCAGTGAGTTATTTGGAGAAGTATAGAGTGTTTCTGTACGTGCTTGTGTGTGTGTGTGTGTGTGTGTGTGTGTATGTGTATCATTTGCTATGCATCAGAGAGCTGGACAATGACTAGGGATGATAGAAGGAGAATTGATGCCTTTGAGCTCTGGTGTTGGAGAAGAGTATTGACTATACTGTGGACTGCTAAGAAAATGAAGAGGTTCGGCCTGGAGAGGGTTAAACCAGGCTGCTCCTTGGAGGCAAGGATTCTGAAGCTTCATCTGACATACTTTGGGCATGGTGCAAGGAGGGACCGGTCCTTGGAGAAGGATGTCATGTTTGGGAGGGTGGAAGGACAGTGTAGGAGAGGAAGACCCCCAGATGAGATGGAGTGACTCAATAACAGGGGTAATGGGGGTAGGTGTGTCAGAGACAATAAGATTGGCACAGGATAGAGCAGAGTTTAGGGTTGTTGTACACAGGATTGCTATGAGTTGCAGGTAACTAGACATAACAACAACAAATGTATATATATACTTCTTCCATATGAACCACTCCTAGAGTAAAATAGTATGCACTATATAAACTCTTATGTGACTATACATATATAAACACTTTACAGGACTGTGATGATTAGATATGAAAATGTGTTAAAGCATCTAGAACTGTTTGATCCACCAAACCCAAAAAAATCAAACCCAAGCTGTTGAGTTGATTCCAACTCATAATAACTCAAAAGGACAGCACAGAATGGCCCAAAGAGCTCTTACATTTGTAAATCTTTATAGAAGCAGACACCACATCTTTTTTCCTAGGAGAATCTGGGAGGTTTGAAATGCTGATTTTTCATTTAACCACTGAACACTTTAACCACTGCACTATCTAGGCTCCTTCATGGGTCACAGTCAACTCAACTCCAACTTAATTCCAACTCAACTCTTCAACTCAACTCAACTCAACTCAACTCAACTCAACTCAACTCAACTTGTTTCTATTGAATCTGAATTGGCCCTCCAGTGAATTTTTAGAGGCTATGAATTGTACAGGAGGAGACTGCCCATATTTCTCCTATGGAGCAGCTGGTGGATTTGAACCACTAGTCTTCAAGTTGGCAATGCTTCTCCTCACCTGCTAGGCCACCAGAGCTCCCTCTGATATTATAGTTTTTGTTCTGTGCTGTCAAATAAGAACCAACCCATAGCTTATCCTTCAGTGGGTTTTCAGAGGCAGTTAATTTCACGAGAGCAGATTGCCTCTTTTTCTGCTGTGGAGCACATGGTAGATTCAAACTGCATACGTTGAGTTGCTAACAAACACCTTACCAGTAGGCCACTAGAGCTCCCTCTGACAATATTTTTTTTAAGTTTTTTAACATTATTATTATTTTGTTTGTACCGTCAGATTGGATCTGACTTGTCCAGGAGGAGATTGCCCCTCTTTCTCCATCACAGCATCTGGTAGATTTGAACTACATACCTCTGAGATTGTAGTGCAGTTTCTTGCCACTAGGCCACCAGAGCTCCCTCCTCTGACATTATTATTAGAGCTCATGAATCTATAATCAAGAATAGATTAATTCATTCACAGAGCTAACAATTATGAAGTACTAATGAATGTTCAACATTAAAGATTAGACTTGAGAGTACAGTCATTTTTGTAAAACCCAGTCCCTATCCTCAAAGAATTTACTCTGTAGTAGCAATGATTCTGAGGATGGTGCAAAACTGGACAGTGTTTTGTCCTGCTGTACATAGGTTTATGTGTTGGAGCACATTCAGTAGCATCTAACAACAGGTGACATTAAACAAGTGAAAAGAAAATTACAGTACAGTCTTGTATGCAATGTGAAGTAATAGGCACAAAATATTATGAGTTTTATGGAAGGATTCAGAGCCGACCTCATTTGGGTCCTCTGGCCTGAAGCAGCTCTTGGGCCGGTTTTAATTGTGTGTGAAATGAACATTCTCTTAAGTGGTATAGCACTGCTCTGTCGTTTTGCTGTACTGAGGTAACTTGGGATTACTGTGATACTGAATGGTGTGCCATTGTTGGGTCAAATGCCATAATGGTTATGCATGGTTGACAATGTCTGGTGGAGCTCACAGATTAAGACAGGCTTGGAAGCAGGAGTGGCATCCGCTTCCTAAACATGTCTGTGGAAACTCTATGAACTTAGAGAAAGGACAATAGTTATATAGAACAGGGTTGAGGTCTTATGTTTATAGGGTCACTACTCAATGGCATTTAACAACAACAACAACATCGTATAGTGCCTGGCCCTTGTCTTCATTTTGAGTTGGATGAAGAAGCTGGACTCTGTAAAATAGGCTTTCTTGTTATTGTTGAGGGTCAGTGTGGAATGTTTGGTTGTTTTTTTGTTTAAGCCTTTTGTTTAGAGTCAACAAGACCTCCTGGAGGGCCACTGTATTTAAAAGTTGCACCTGAGGGGTTATATTTTAATCCCTTGTTACTATATTTTGGAGGCACATCCTTCTAAATCTTACAGCACTCTTCTGTCAATTCACTGTGCTGTTGTAATCTGGATTTGTAGGTCTTTTGTTCATAGGGTCACTGTGAGTCATATGTGACTTAATGGCAATCAATAGCAACAACAATAACATGGAAGGGTATCCAATGCAGTCCTGGGTGGAGTGGTGATGGAAGGCAAGAAATATGCTTCGAGTAAATATGGATATGATTGATGGTGGCTTGAAGGTGATGAGTGCAAGCTTAATAGAGGGGGAAAGTAATTCCAAGGATAAAAATAGGGTTGTACCATCTATACAAGATTGCCATGTAACAAGCTGTCTATAGTACCAGACACATCACAAGTACTTAGTAAATGCTAAAACCGTTATGGCTTTTATTGTTGTTATGACTTGAGGAAAGCACGGTATGTGTGTAGAATGGTGAGAAGTTGTTTACATGGCATGGAGTGTGAAGAGATGACACTGGAGAGTTGGGAGCACACCAGGAAATGCTTTTTATGGCATGCTAAAGATAATTCATTATCTCTGGGGAGACATTGTTATATTAAGCAGAGGAAGATAATAGGTTTGTATTTTACAAAGGTATTTTGTTTAGAATGTGAAGCTGTGCTGCAATCCCAAAGGCACACGGTTGGAATCTTCCAGCTGCTCCATGGGAGAAGGGTGGACAATCTCCTCTCATGTGATTTGCTGCCTTTGAAAACCCAGTGGAGGGTCAGCTATGAGTCCGTTCTGACTTGGGCATACAACAACAGCAGTGACAATGAGTTGGAAAGTGACATAATCTGTAGGGAGTTGCACTGCTAACCCAAAGACCACACCTCTCTGGGGATCCAAATCCACCAGAAGTTCCATGGGAGAAAAGCAGGTTGGCTCCTCCTGGGCTTTGGAAACCCTGCGGAAGGTGAGCTATCAGTCCATTCCAGCTCGACCGCAATGAACTTTGAGGTTTAAATGTACTGACAGGCTCAGAGAGGGAGAATTCAGAGTTTGTATCCAGGTTTTAGCTAGATACTTATGAGGATAATTTTGCTCAATGTTAAGCTAGGAAATACACTTTGTTTGTTTTGTAGTAAGACTTACATATGGGGAGAAATTAAAGTTAAGTATAAAAAGCTCCTGAATTAGCTGATAAGCATTATCTAATTTTAAATCAAATAGTACTAAATTTAGGGATCTTAATTATAGTTCAGCTTTGCTCCATATCAGCTGTAACTTGCATAGGTCACCTAGCATCTTTGATTTGGAATTTCAGCATCTCTAAAACAACATCCTTCTTTCCATTCATTCAGCAAATGTTGAGCATATTACACTTGCTAGGAACTTTCCAGCTGAGCATCAGTGAAAAGATATTTTTGGCTCAGGAAGTGTATGCCCTAGAGAAACAATATAGTCAAGAAACTATGACAATGGCGTTTCTGAGAATAAAGAGATGTGTGTGTGTGTGTGTGTGTGTGTGTGTGTGTGTGTGTGTGTATACACTTCAACAAGACTGCTGAGTAAAGAATTAATTGGTAAGGTTAAGATAATCATAAAATATATGCACACCCATGTTTATCGCAGCTTTTTTCACAATGGCAAAGAGTTGGAAACAACCTAAGTACCCATCAACAAACGAATGGATAGAGAAGCTCTGGTATATTCACACAATGGAATACTATGCTGCATTGAAAAACAAGGAACTCATGCAATATTATTCAAAATGGGTGACCCTGGAAGACATTATGCTGAGTCAAGTATCTCAGTCACAAAAGGACAAATACTGCATAATGCCACTGTTGTAAAATGGGACTGACATCAGGGTTTGCAGGGGGGGGGGACTGGGCAAGATGGGTTCAATAATGTATACTGCATTGAAACAGATGAGGGAGAGAACTGTTTAAAAGGGATATATGATTAGGTATTATTGTTATGACAGGAGTCTAGAATGAAGGCTGCATAGTGGAGTGGACTTGGGGGGAGGGATTGTTTAATAATGAAAGAATTTTTCTTTTACTTTTCAAAATGAAGGCTGCATAGTGGAGTGGACTTGGGGGGATTATATAACAATGAAAGAAATTTTCTTTTCTTTTGCAAAGAGAAGAGAGAACTGGGGGGAAGTTGGGCAGGGAGAAAAGTACAACAGTGGATGAATGGAAATCCGAAGTCTCTGTAAACTTTTGTTAAAAATGAATGAAAAAAAAATAAAGACAAAAACCCCCAAACCCAAACAAACAAAAAGATAATCATAAAATATAAGAGGTGTATTTTACCTAATAAAGGAAAAGTAGGAAATTGATCAAATAAGTAAAGGTAGTTAGGAGGGATTTGTTGTAAACTTCTTTTGAATGGAAAATATTTAAAATACTGCAAATTACTATGAAAACCTGAGTAATAATATCGCTGTATTTCTATTATGCTACATAATGATGAGGACTTTGAAAAGGAAATGGTAAGTTCTCTTCTAGTGATAATCGGTATTACTAAAGCCAGTACTATCAGCTGATATAATGCTTTGCTTTCCTCCCCCTCTTTTTTTAGCGTTCCTCTGAACTCCAGGGAGAATATCTCTGATCCCACCTCGCCGTTGAGAACCGAATTTGTGTACCGTTTGTCTGAACTGTAAGCAAGTTTCCTTTGGCATAATATAGACATGGAAGTTAATAATATTTAGTTAATTTTATTAGTAAGGATGTTTTTTGCCAATATGTTGGTGTGTCAACATTACAAACATAAATGGAACTTTTGAATAATTCTTCCTCTTTCTGTTACACGGGGGAGTCTTGATAGCATGGTAGGTTACGTGTTGGGCTGGTAACTGAAAGGCCAATGGCTTGAACTCCCTAGCTGCTCAGCAGAAGAAAGATGGTAAATCTCCTGTTCAGATTTAAAGCTTTAGGAACCTGCTGAGGGTCATCTTGAATTGGAATGGACACAGTGGATTTTTAAAAAATTATTAGGTATCACAGATTAAAAAAATCTTCAGTAAAGATAAAAGGAATTTATATATTTATCCTAAAGGAGGAGTTTCAGTAGTACAGGAAAAGTAATTCATTAGAATAGGTCATTAAGTACATTTCAGACACAGGAAAAAGCAGATGCATCTTTAGTAACTATATAAGCTAATATCCTACAGTTTGTTTTTTTAAAAATTTACTTTCTTTTTCTACAATGAATTTAGACCATTAATACAGTTGTGCATAAGCCTAGCATAATAGAAGTTACTGTATGTACAAATAACGTATGATAATATAACTAATCATATTGCTTAGTTTATAGCTAAGCATTATGTAGAGTGGAGGAAGAATCTCGTACACATTTCTGTACTGTAGCCTTGTTGAGCCCTGAAAGGAGTCACTTCTTGTCAGTTCTTAGGCCAGAGCTGGAAGAACGATTTCATTTCAGAGGGAAATGTAGAGTCACCTATATTGAGACTGTGCCTGATGAGGAGTGTACAGTGAGGATATTTTTTTTTCAGCTGTAAGAGATGTGACCCCGTAGAAGTGGAACTGGACAATCAGGTGGTTACTGCCACGCAGAGCAACTTATGTGATGAAGAACCCGAGACCTGCTATACTTACGACAGGAACAAGTGCTACACTAACAGAGTCCCCCTGACCCACGGTGGTAAGACCTACATGGTGACAACAGCCCTGACTCCTGAGTCCTGTTATCCTGACTAACTTCTACGCCACTGCTCATTGTGAGGCTCTTAGGCTGACAGACTCTCCATTTCAACCCAGAAAGTGAATATATTTACTATCAAATAATTTTTTTTAACTTGATGGCACATAACAACATTACACAAGACTAACTTTCCCCCAAAAGACATTGAAATAGTGACATTATTGTTTTATTTATTGAGTAATTCCTTCTCAAGAGTGTGTTCACATGAAGGGTTTAAATTTCTCATTTATCAAGCTTGTCTTAACAGAAAAACTCCCTTAAGAATGTAATGTCTAATTTTTAAAAAAATTAGATAAAAGGAAAAAAATAAACCTGTAAACCTGACAAATGAAATTAGGAGAAATAATTACGTTTACCTTTTTTCTTTCATTGGACTTTGACTTGGAGAGCCAGCTCTTTGGCACATTCTTCTTCTCTCTTTTAAAAAAGTATAAACTGTGTAGAGAACATGCATGTTAAACATGGGTTAACCTTTGTCTTAGAAGGATAATAACTGGAAAACATAATTGAAACTTTTCTTAAAATAATTTAAGATGAGAACCCTAGCACTTATGAGACAGGATAGGAGAAACTGACCTTGTTAAATGCACAACTGGAAAAATGTCTTTTGATATAACACTGACTGACTTGGCTGTAGATAATTTTTTTTTTCTTGGTAAAATTTTCATTTTGCTAAACAGACTAGTTTAAGAAAAACTATCCACATTTGTAACCACATTCAATGAAATCTGTATTCCAAAACATGTACTCTCTAGCACAGTTTAATCCATTAAATAGATTCACAAGCATATACCTGTGTGAAATAGTTCATTGGGAGAGTTTGTCTGCATTAACTTTCCTACCTGTAAGTTAAAATATAATTTCTTACTGATAAATAGTTTCAAGTATACATAAAAACACATTTGAAGTGGTTTTGATATTTTGGACTTGAAGATAAATGGAAAGGCAAAGTACCACCTGAAAGAGTGTGGCAAAATTTTTCATGAGAAGTAAATTCCAATTGATACATGTCAATGGAGAGCAAATGTTAACTCTGGATTTAAAATAGAGAGTAAAAGTCAGTTTCAGGAAGTGTTTTCTCTGTTTTTCTTTGTTTTAAATGGTGATAGTAACTTTCCAATAACCAACACCTGTTGCTGCAGCAGTCAAGAAGTGAAGACATATTGCATTGGGTAAATCTGCTATCCAGGATCTCTTGTCAATTGCTTCCTGAAAATACCATGGTTTGGGTCAGGCACACCTTATGCATCTGAAAGGTGGACAATGACTAAGGAAGACCAAAGAAGAGTCTATTTTGAACTGTGGTGCTGACCAAGATTTCTGATTATCCCACGGACTGCCCAAAGAACAAGCAAATCTGTCTTGTCTCAGAGGAGGAGGTACAACCACTGTGAGTCTTAGAGGCAAGAATAGTGAAACTTTGTCTCATATTTTAGATAGGTTGTCAGGAGGGGCCAGTCCTTGGGAAAAAACATGCTGTGAAGGGTGGGGGAGTGTCAGAGGGAAAAAAGGAAACTCATCAATAAGATCAGTTGACACAGGGCAACAATGGGCTTGAGCCTTGGGGTAAATACCAAGATCCAGGATGGCACAGGGTAGGGCAAGGGCAAGGCTTTGATCTGTTGTTCATAGAGGTACTGTGAGTAGTAGTTGACGTGATGGTACACAACAACAACAGTCCATTTGGTAGTGCTTATATCTCATGCAAAGATTCTTACCACTGGATTGATAGTGCCATGATGGATGGAGAGGAGATTGAAAATGCCAACAGCTTCATCTTGCTTGGATCCATAATTAACACCCTTGGTACCAGCAGTCAGGAGATAAGGAGACATATTCCACTTGGAAAATCTGCAGTTAGGGACCTTTCCAAATTATTGAGGAGTAGTGATGTCAGTTTGAAGACTAAGGTGGATCTGATTCAGGGCATAGTCTTTCCAATTACTTGCTATGTATCTGAAAGCTGGATAATGAATAAGGATGACAGAAAAAAAAATTGACACCTTTGAACTGCGGTGTTGGAGAGGAGCACTTAGCATGCCATGGAAGCCCAAGAGAACAAAGAGAGATGTCTTGGAGAGAGTACAGCTCTTTGGAGGCAAGAATGAAGAGGCTTCGCCTCACATACTTTGGGCATGTTGCTGGAGATGCTATTCCTTGAAGATGGACATGATGCTGGGAAGGGTGGAGGAGGATTGGTGGAGAGGAAGACCCTCAACCAAGTGGATTGACAGTGACTGCTGCAGTGTGCCAGGAAGTGTGAGGATGGTGCAGGCTAGAATACGGTTCAGATCTTTTGTTCATAGGGTTACTATGAGTTGTGCTTGACTCAACGGCATCTAACAACAACAACAACAACATATCTCATGCAGTACAGCAACTCTAGCATTCAAGAACATTCAGGAAAATGACATTTGAGGTAAATTCAGTATCAGTTGATTTTTTGTTTTGATTTATTATCTGTTAATTGTTCCCCCCCCTTCTCTCTGCCTAGACAAACATCAGAAAAAAAATTTAGGCATAAATGCAAACTCAAAAATTCATTGCTGTCAAATCTGAACTGACTCAGTCCAATGGATTTTCAAAGGTTGCAAAATTGTCCATTTTTCTTTCTGTCTGGAGTAGCTTGTTGCCTTTGGGGTTAGAAGTGCAACTCAAGTGGACTACACCACCAGAGCTTCCTAAGCTTATATTTTTTAGATTGCTGTTATGTGCTGTCAACTCTAACTCATAGCAACCCTATGCACAATAGCTCTTAACCCTGATCTATCCTGAGCCACTCTCACTGCCTCTGACACATCTAGCCTCATTGTTGTTGTTGTTATGTGCCATCGAGTTGCTTGTGACTCATAGAGACCCTATGTACAAGAGCCCTAAATGCCATTCTATCCTGTGCCAACCTCGCCATCTCAAACACAGTCATTCCCACCACTCCAGTCACAGAATTGGTCCATCTCGTCAAGGGTCTTCCTCTCCTGCACCATCCCTTCACTCTCCCAAACATGATGTCCCTCTCCAAGGATCAGTCCCTCCTTGCAACGTGCCCAAAGTATGTCAGATGAAGCACCACAGCTCAAAGGCATCAATTATCTTTCTATCATCCTTATTCACTGTCCAACTCTCTGATGCATAGCACATAATTGCAAAGACTATAGCCTGGATCAGGTGCACCTTAGTCTTCAGCCTGACGTTGTTGCTCTTCAGTACTCTTGAGAGGTCCCTCACAGCTGACTTTCCCAGAGCAATTCATCTCTTGATTTCCTGGCTGCTGCTACCAAGAGTGTTGACTGCGGAACCAAGCAAACTAAAACTGTTAACTATCTTAATCTCTTCACCATCCATATTGATGATGCCAGTTGGCCCAGTGGTGAGAATCTTTGTTTTCTTGATATTGAGCTTCAATCCATATTGAAGACTGTAGTCCTTGACTTTCTGCAGCAAGCGCTTCAGGTCCTCCTCAGTTTCAGCAAGCAGCGGACCTCAGTTATTATGAAAATTCATCTCATCTGGTGTCTTCTTCTCTTGTGCTGTGCCTCCACCTTTCCAAGCATGATGTCCTTCTCCAAGGACTGGTCCCTTCTGGCCACATGCCCAAAGTATGTCAGATGGAGCTTCAAAATCCTTGCCTCCAAGGAGGAGTTTGGTTTCACCCTCTCCAGGACAGACCTCTTTGTTCTTTTGGCAATTCATGGTATGCTCAGTATTCTTCTCTAGCACCACAACTCAAAGGCATGGATTCTTCTTCTATCATCTTTGGTCACTGTCAGCTTTTAGATGCATAGCAATTGCAAAGATCATGGCCTGGATCAGGCTCACCTTAGTCTCTAGACTGACACTGTTGCTCTTCAGCACTTTGTAGAGGTCTCCGACAGTAGATTGTCCTAATGCACTTCATCTTTTGCTTTCCTGACTGCTGGTGCCAAGAGTGTTGATTGTGTAACTGAGCAGATGGAAATTGTTGACAATCTCAATCTCTTCTCCATCTATTATGGTGCTGCCCATAGGCCCAGTGATGAGAATGTTTGTTTTCTTGACTTTGAGCTTCAATCCATATGGCAGACTATAGTCTTTGACCTACTGCAACAAATGCTTCAGGCCCTCCTAAGTCTCCACAAGCAAGGTTGTATTATATTTTACCTTATGAGCTGGGTATCCCATGGTAGCCATAATGGGAATGATTTCCAGTTGCTTACTATTTTAAACCTCTACCTCCACCTTGTGGTTAAAATAGGAAGCGTGACCAGGGTGATTCTTAGAGGCAAGGATAGTGAAACTTTGTCTCACATACTTGGCGTGTTGTCTGGAAAGGTCAATATTCTGGGCAATAGTGGAGGGTCAGAGAAAGAGAACAAAACCCTCAAAAAGATGGATTGACACAGTCACTGCCACAGTGGGCACATATCAGAGATCGTGAGGATGGCCCAGGATACAGCAAGGTTCAGATCTAATGTTTATTGCGTCCTGTTAACCTGATGGCACACAACAACAACAACGAGTTACGAAATGGAAACTATATTATTTCAAAAATAATGGAGCTGGTGTGATAAGAAGTGAAGTAATTGCTCAAGTTTACAAGTAATATATGGAGAATTGATAATTGGAACCCAGACTCTTATACTGCAAACCCAATTCTGCAGACCATCTTCCCCAGAAATGGTTTGTAAGAAAAGAATTAGAAATATATAGAAATGGAAAAAAAAAGAAATTTATAACACACTTCTTCTAAGAGGGAAAACTCCTAAGACATTTTAAGGTCATCATCAAGGCAATGATGATATAGGTACACTTAGAATATTTTACAGAAAAAAAATGCTATTATATATCTATTTTTATTCTTAGTACTTTTGCTAAATGAATTTTAAACATTCTACCCATTAAGCTTTAACAAATAAACAGATATTTAGCAGATACATTCAAGTTATTAAGTGATTTTATGGAAATTGCTTGTATTATTATAAAGAAGAATGACTTTAAGAACACTCTTTCCTTCATTCCC